CATACCTTTTACTTTAAGTTAATAAATTTATCATTTTCAATTTGTTCAAATAAAATTGATCCCTTTAAATAAGTCCAGTATTATATTTCACTGTAATGGCTACTATGCTCACAATTCAACTGAAAGAATAATGACACTGGCTTGCTGACATCTTACCAACCGACACTGCCTTAAAGTGTCATTTAATTTTTATTATGTGTTTTCATATTTAATTTTTATTATGTGCTTGCAACACCTAAATTAGCAAAACATAATAATTTAAAGAAGGAAAAGAAACAATTTTGTTTATTTAACGAGTTAATTCTTATTATCTTTTGAAATCAACATATAAATATTAAGTAGATTTAGACTTTAACTACCATTAAGTTGTTGCAAACGTTATTTTTGTTGCTACTGTTATTATTATTGTTACTAATTTCTAAATGATTGGTTTAAAAAAACTTAAGACCAGTGTTTCTAACAAATGGAAAAATTATAACTTCGACAAATTACAATTGATTCAAGTAACTTCTAATCACTTTTAATTTTAAAAATAGCTTTATGAAAAAAGAAAAAGTTTTTTTATGAAAAAAAAGGTCTTTCATGTAAAACTAACCTTATAAAACTTTAATTCAAAAATAATGTATATACATGATCTTATCAAATAAAATAAAAATTAGCATAAAACAATACATAAAAAATATATCTTACAACTAAATATATATATATATATATATATATATATATATATATATATATATATATATATATATATATATATATATATATATATATATATATATATATATATATATATAAATTGAATCTAAATTTACTTTATTATTCTATAATTAAAAAAATACAAAAAATCTTAGCATAAAATAAATATATTTGAATATATAACAACTTCAGTAAAAAAATAAATTTTTCATAAAAAGTAATATAATTGAATTTCATGCGAAGTAATATAATTGATAAACTGCATTTATTATTTGTATTTTGTTAAAATTTTTATTTATAACAAATTACAAACAATCAATTAAGAAAATAATTATTTACTTACCAGCAAGTTTGAAATAAGGATAATTATATAATGGAATATTAAGTAATAAATACTTATTAGTTTTAACATAATTATTATTTTAGTTGTGACGATATAAATTAAGTATGGTGTTGTATGAAAAGTTCACAGCTTTTTGCTGCTCATTGTAACGTTGTTGAGCAAGTGCTCTGAGTCGTTCATATTTTTTGCTTCTAAACAAAAAATACAAAAAAAAGTATTTATTATTTAAGTATTTATTCAATTAGTATTAAGTAAATAATTTAACAAATTATTACTTTTTAAAATGCATACCCAATATCCTGAATAGTCTGGTATTGAGGTACACATATGTACAGTCAATTATTCAAATATTAAAGAAATAGTTAGCATACTTACTTTACAATACAAGTAAGAAATATATAAATTATTCCCAAGAAGATCACCATAATTGAGGACACAAGAGTCTTTATACCAAAGCAAAGAACTATTACTGGGATTGTTAATCTAGAAGTTAATTTTTTGAAAATGTATCAAGATTTTGATAAAGTGTAATGCTATTAAATGTAATTATAATACCATACACAAACTAAGCATGTAAAAAAATTAACTCAAACTATATTTTGTTGTACAGATATGCAATAAAAGGCAATGACAATAAAAATATAATAGTTTAAATTATGCAAACAAATGTGGTAAATACATTTGTATAACATCTGTTTTTTGTTTGTTTTTTTTTTGTTAAAAAAATAAACCATAAAACTAAAGGCAACTTTTTAACTTACAAAATGTATATTAGACCTTTTATCCAGAAAGGGAAGTTGCTATCAAACTTGTTACAACATTTTCTTTTTGCAGCAAACATGCAACAAACGCATTCCATGAAAATAATAAATATTCCAAACACACTAGAACAAAATATTTTTGCTACAAAAAACTAAATTAAAAAAATTTATCATTTTTCTTTGAAAAAAAAATGTATATATATATATATATATATATATAAAAACAAAATACATCATTAATGCACCAGCAATAAGACATTTTTTTGAATCTCTGCTCGATTCCGTCAAAAGGTACCAACCATTGCTGACAAAAGCTATATCAAAAAAGTAGAATCATTGAGCATCAAAATTTTGATTTTCTTCTTAAAATTATATACCTAATATTACTAAATTGTATTTTTATTTTCGAGCTGTAAAATTTATTATCAAGTACTGCTAAAATGATAAACTTCATTTAGCAATAATTTCAGTTTTATAACTTACATATTCCAGATATTAAACCCCAGATTCTTGCAACTGCCCGGGGAAAATCAACATCCTTTTGATTATCAACTTCTTTTTGGTTATCACCCAAACGCTTGTAATCAGTACGTTTTCCGTTACCCCTTTTTGGAACTGGTTTATTCGTCATTTAACTAATAGTCTATTTACTTTTTTATTTTACTCAACATTGGCACAAGACCGGACTTTGTCGGAAAGTATTATATGGTAATTACATACCCTCAAATCGTGAGTTGTTTCGGAAACTTCTTTTTTCTAATTCACCAACCTTGTTCTTTAGGGCTTCTTATCTTGGGGTACCTATAATAACAAATAAAAAAAAAAAATCTTTAAATTAAGATTTTCATTTTGGCTAAACTATCGTGTTTCCATTTTTTTCAATAAACTTTTTACTAGCCTTACCAAGGCCGTAGACAACTTTTTTTGATCTTTGAGCTAAGCAACTTAGAAACATAAAGAAAACTCCACATTTAAGTATGTTCATAAATATAAGGGAATGAGGATGCTATGCAAAAAATTGTAGTGCTTGGAGACTGGGAACAACAAAAACCCCAAAACCTTAGCTCCCTCCCCCCCCCCCCAGCCCCAAACAGGAGGGCAATTAGTCAAATTTGTAAATTTTTTTAATCCTTAAACTTAATTTATATTCATCGTCAAATTTCAAATTTGATTCAATAATCTTTTGTTGTTCGGCTTTTATGACCTTATAAAGTTTACGACTCCCTCAAATTGAGGGGGCTTGTTTTCTTTTCCTTCTTTAAATTATAATTATGTTTTTTTTTTCTTACAAATAAATTAAATTTGTTTGTCATTTTATTTTGCAGTTTTGTTATTTTTTTATTTTTAGTAATATTAAAGCGTCTGTTCGTGCGTAGTTGAAAATTATAAAATAAAATAAAAAATTTTATTATATAATTTATAAAGTTTGCATTATTTTCGTTGTAATGTTGATTTTTTTTTTTTTATATTCATAAAATAAAGTTTTTTTATAGAATATTTTGTCATTTCAACCACAGAAATAAACGAGTTTTGACAAAATCTCTGTTTATTGCTCGGTACATAGTATATTTGGTTTTTCTTTCAGCGCAGTTTCGAGCAAGTTGTGCTTTTAGTTGTTTAGTAAGACCACGCGGCCGAAGACTGTAGTTTGAAGACTCGGACATTCCGTAAGATTTCAGCTTATGCAGATTGAGTTAGAAAGGTAAAAAAATGGCAAAAATTATATAACTATCATATATATACATGTAATACATCAATAAAATCGTATTTTTGGTCAAATAATTAAAATTTGCTATTAAAAATAATTTTTACGCGTACCTCTGACGCGTACCTACGACGCGTACAACGCGCGCTTACGAGTGTAAGCAGGAAAAATTTGACTTAAATAAAAAAATCGGATTCCTTGATCTAAAATACCACATATTTTTTAATATAAATTTTACTTGTGTCTAAGGTTCGTACTACACATGCGTATACGTGTTACAGTCTTTTACGCGCACAAAGAATGACTTAATTTAAAAAGATTATATTCTTCAAACCAAAACATTTACTAATTAAAAAGAAAAATTGGATTTTCAAAAAATTGGAAATTCAAAAAATCAAAATACAGCTAAATATAATAATAATATTAAAATATATTAAACACAAAATAAATATTTATCTTATCTAATTTTTCTTTCGAGAAAACAAAAAAAATAAAATCTTGTATTAATAAAAAAGCTTTTTTTAATTATTACGGCATTAGCAAAGATAAAACTTCAGGAGTAAGGGTTTTTCCATTTTTAAACTTCTATTTTTTGAAAAAATGTTTGATATTACACGATCACTTCTAATCAAGAGGTATTGGTACTGGTTTTTCATAACATTCTTTCTAGATATCTGTATGTTTCAATCTAGCTTTGCAAATTTTCTTATTCAGAACCTCTAGTGACTCTTCAGAGTAGTAACCAATTTACAATTCTAATGCCTCAGATATCTGGATTCCATGTTCCAAGAGTTTATGAACAGTTGGGAAAGTCATATACCAGCGATAGTTTTTAAGTATAAGGGCTGTAGTTTCATAGCAATAGTGTCAAAAACTTTCAGAGTTCAACTCATAACAGGAGCATACTGATACTAGGATTGTCCTCAATCTAATAGCTACATCTACAGCCACTCCTGTTATATCAGCAAAGATTCCAGCATTTTCAAATGCCTTTTTGGCAGTGTTCCCATCGTTAGTGTTGCCAAAACCTGTTTGGGCATATCAACTTTAAGACTTAGCTTTTCTCTAAACCTCAGTTGAAATACTTTTATCTATTTTTTACTAATGCTTTTTCAGCAGGGTATTTGGCAAAATACTTTTATAATGTCTAACTTATATCCTAAATGTAAAATATATTTAAAAGATCTGAGCCAGCAATGCAGAGTAAAAAGGCCCAAAGATAAGAGAGATAAGAGATAAGAGAGATAAGAGATAAGAGAGGTAAGAGCTTTTTCATCGATTGGTTTAAATCTGATCAATGCTGTGTTATTTAGTTCACTGAGTTTAGCTCAAAAAACATTATATGATTGGGAGGATAGAGAGTTAGTGGGGGCATTAACCACTTTACCATCAAACGTTGTTAAATCTAGTTTAGTTTTAAATGTGATATTCGTATCGAAGGTTTTCCTTCTTCTACTTCTAATTTTACCTCAAACTTGATTAGTCTATTCATTTTTCCTTTTAAAATTTCTTATCAATTATTCCGTTTTAAAACTTGCAATATGCCGTCAACTCTTGCATATTTCGATTTTCGAGGTTTGATAATTAGAACCATCTGCTTGAGTATTTTTACTAATAGGAACTAAAGGTATTACTTTTGTGATGAATGTAAGCAATGAACTATTGTTCGCTACTTTATACGCAAGTTTTAATTAAAAACGGAAAAAACATAAAAAAGATGAGGTAATTAAAAGGTCTTATATCAATTGGGGCAAGTTGGGGCAAATAATTTTTTTTTTTTACTTTCATATATACCCATCAATGGAAAAATGTTAAAACTACCATGGAATGTGGAATCTATTTGTTTTTGAACAAAACTCATAGTTAAACTAATTTAAAAAAATTAGTTTAATTATGACACATTTTCGAGATTTCAGTAATGAAAATCTAAAATTAAAATTTATTGTCAAAAATGTTATTAATAGTTACCAAACATTTTAAACATATGACTTCAAATTAAATTTTGAACTGTTTTCATATTGTTTCATATGTTTTTACCCATATCAATCATAAAAGAGTGACACTAAAGCAAGACTTGAGCGAGTTTTCCGAGAAATAAAATTAAAAAATAAGTCTTGGAAAAAGGCGTATAAATTGGTGAAATCTTAAAAATTAATTATTGTCTTTCAGTAATATTTAGTTACATTATAACTTAATTATTTTCTAGCAAGAGTTTTATATGGGTTTTTTTTTTTTGCCTTCTTTTATGGATTTTGACTCACTGTGCGACGGTACGGAACTTTGTCGAATTAAAAAAAAATCAATCTAAAAACTGGAATCTTCTTATTTTGAATTGGATAAAGCCAATATTTTCCTTAAAAGATTAAATTATGTTTTTCTAATCAATTCTCAGTGCTTCATTTAAATATTCGTAGTATTACTAAAAACTTCGACGAACTAAAAATCCAACTAGATAATCTTAACTTTAACTTTAGCTTAATATGTTTAAAGGAAAGCAGGGTTTTAGATACAACATTTAATTAAAATTCTAATTTTATTTTGCCCAACTACAAAGCCATTAGTTTTGAACGTAAGTCTTCAAAAACAGGCGGTGGTATATGTGCCCATGTGCTTGATGAGTTTACTTATAAAATTAGATATGACCTGTCGTTCTCTGAGCCGGTGTAGCGTTTTTAAATTACTGCGTTAAAATTTTACTGCGCAGAAGTTTTCAACCGTCAGTTTAATGATGTCAGGAAATATTTAAATGACAATGCTTTTCCTGAAGATGTGAATGAAAGAGGAAAAAAAGCAAATTTTAAACGGCAGTGTAAAAATTTTGTTATTGGTCGGAAAGTCACGTGATTATGCGCAATTTTAATGGCGCGATTAGTTACCATCTTGGATGGGGGAAACTAATTTAGAAATCGCATGTAAATGTAAGTTTTGAAGTTTGAAACAAGATATGTCAATTTATGAATACTTCGAAAAATTAGATTTTAACGCTGCAGAAAGGTACAAAAACAAACTTGCGATCCTTGGAATTAATCAATGTCCGTACAAATTCCCTGCAGATGCTTGGAAAGATGACCCAACAGAATGGCCATCTGTTCAATACCATGATGTATATCATTATTTAATAAAAAGTCCTAAAATCTTTTCTCCTGAGGCTATAGATAACTACAAAGCATTAGATGCTTATAAGTATTTTGTCTCTGGTTGGGTGCAAGAAGTTTTACATATGATATTTAGCTCAGGTTTTGTTATTTTTAAAGCAGAAGTTAAACCATCTTACAGAACAAAAGACCCAACTCATACACCGTGGATTGCTGTTAACAACGAAGAATCAATCATCTTAAGTCACTGTAACTGCATGGCAGGGTGAGTTAAATTATTTTTTATTTTTTTTTCCCATACAACTTTCTAGTCTTATGTTGGATTATATGGGTTAAAGATATACATAATAACTAGTGTGTATGTGGGATGTAAATGCTTCACAAAATAATTTAATTTGTAACCAATGAGATAAACTTAAAAAAGGAACAATGTGATAAAGATTGTTTTTTTGTAATTATTCCAAAATTAATATTTTTCAGATATTTTTTACTATTTTATAGACTTGGTGAAACCTGCTCTCATGTTGCAGCTGTTTTATATAAATTAGAAGCAGCAGTTCGCTTGGGTTTGACGTCAAAATCTTGCACAGATGTCCCTTGTAAATGGAATCAAAATTTTACAAAAGATGTTAATCCTGCTCTGATATCTGAGATAATTTTTTACAGTGCTGATGCAAAACAAAAAATACGATCAAACATATCAACTACATCATTAACTGTTAGAGTAAATAATTTCTTATTTTAGCCACTATTTAATATCTAGTTAATGAGATTAAAATTTACCTTGTAAAATCCATAGTTACTTTAATATTATTTTATTGACATCTGCTTTTTACATCTTTTTTTATTTTTTGTATTAGTTGAAGTGAAACATTTAACTTTACATAATTCTTCACATTAATTAACTTCACATAATTTTAAATGGTTTAATAAAATCAGCTTTTAATCTGTTAATAAAACTTAAAAAAATAAAAAAATATTTTTCCTTAACAGCTAAATGAAGAACATTAGACTCGTTTTCTTGAATCAATAAAGAAGAACAATCCCAAAGTTTTAGCATTATTGTTGTTTGAATGTAATTTTTGTAAAAGTAATAAAACCAAATTTTTGTAAAAGTAATACACCTTCATTATTATGGGGATGTGAAAATGAAGAATTTGGATTAGCTGAGTATGTAAATATCAGTTCTGATGACACATACATGAGTGAATCCCTTTGCCTGTCAGTAGTCATTGGTTTTGTAGTTTCACAAGAGAAACCATGGCTGGGTGTGTCTCCTGCTGGTGTTGTACATTGTTCATGCTGTGGGTACGGAGTTGTTGAGGTGAAATGTCCTTACAGCCTTAAAGATATTGGATTGACTTCTTCGATAGATGATGAAAACTTTTATGTAAAAAAAAGTAATAATGGCTTCATGTTGGAAAGAACGCATCCATATTTTAGTCAGGTACAACATGGAATGTTCATATTAGACGTGCATTATTGTGATTTTGTTGTCTGGACTCCAATTGATTTTTTATTTTTTCAAATTGAACATGATCCTTATTTTGTGAATGAGATGATCACCAAAAGTACAAAATTCTGGAAAAATGTGATCTTACCAGAACTAATGACAAGAAAGTTGGAAATCGCAGATGTTAAAACTGTTGAACAACAAAAAGAAGAAATATTTTGCATTTGTAAAAAATCCAACAGTAATTGGGATATGTTAGGTTGTGATTGTTGTGATCAATGGTTTCATCTAATCTGCCTGAAACTAAAAAATTTACCAAAAACAAAGGTCTGGTATTGTCCAACCTGTCGACAGAAAAAATAATGTTTTATTATGTATATATATTATTATTTTTGTTTTGTTTATTTTAAATGACAATGTAAATATTTTTTAAAAAAAATAGTTTTATGCTGTTTCGCAACATTATATAAAGATATTTATATTATCTTATTTAATTTGTGATTTTTATATCAAAATAAAATTTGTTAAGCTTTTTTAACTTTTTTTAGTTAATTAAATAATTTTCAGTATTTGTTAAATTTTCAATTTTGAAATCTAAAAGAAAGACTGAAAATGATAAATGAAAATGACTTTATATGTTGCAAAAATAAAAATTTTATATGCAAGTGACAGAAGATTTTGTTTATAAAAACTCATTTTAAAAAATCGATGAAACTTTCGATTGATAGGATTAAATCGAATTAACAACTTATTTATGTTTTGTAAATATTTGTCAAATTATCTAGTTATAAGCATCGCCTTTGTTAGTAATCCTTGGTGCTTTTAAAAATATCTCCGTTTTTTATTAATATTTTTGTACTCAATTATATTTGCATTTATTAATGTTCAGTTAGTATTTTGAAGAAAGGATCTCGATTAATTTTCTCATAACTTAAATTTAAAAAAATCGCAGTAATTGGAGCCTGGGAACAAAAATACCTCAAGATTTACCTCACCTAGCTCAAATATGAAAGTAATGAGTTAATATAATATTTTTAGTTGACTCTTAATACTAAATTTAAACTCGTCAGTAGGTTTTAATTTTTATATAAATTATCTTTACGCGTTCCAAAGTTATGACCATAAAATTTACAACCCCCCTTGTTTTGAAGGGTTCGGAAACTTAAAATGGTAAGGTTTTTTTACTCGATTGTACAATAGACTGAACCCAATTTAAAATTTATAATTTTCACCATGCTCAAAAACTTACCTTAGTACCATTAAAAAAAATTTTTGTTGTATTTAAACTTCAGCGATTATCTTTTTCCGGATATTTTTCTCAACTTTAAGTTTTTCCGGATATCCAAAATGTTTTCCATACATAAAAGTTTAGGTGTATATTTTTGTAATATTCTTCTTTTTTTTTTGAGCTTTTTTCACTTATCACTCAAAATTAAGAGAAGTTTACAAAAAAAGTTATAAAACAATTCAGTTAAAAGCAATATTAAGAGGAAAATAAATTTCGGATTTTTTCCGGATATTTTACACAAACAATTTTCCGGATTTTTAAAATATGGTCTGGATGATCTATGAAACTTAAATATAAAAAAACTTATACTTAAATTTTTTTTTTTTCTGTATACGTGAAGTAGATGACCGGTACCGGTCACCTTAACAGAAAAACCAGTTTATAGATCTTTGAACACACCGCAAAAATTCCCGAGCTCCTGCCACCGGATAAACTTTTCAATGCTAGAAATTAAGGCTAATGAAATTTCGTGCGCTGCCAATTTAACGCTAATTAATTGACGTTATTTTATTTTTAACTATGAATGATGATTTTGCAGACATAACTTTATAATTATTGTTTTTATGTTTAAAGTCGAATTTCAAATAATCTATGGTTTTAAATTCTTATGTAATATTAAAGTAATCGGTAATACCAATTCATTTTTTGCCGGGATTCGAGTCGGTCCCCGTTAAAAATAGAATCGTGACGTGTCTGATTTTAGTATTGAAGTTTATTTTGAAATATTTTAAAAGCACATTATTTATGCTTGAAGTCAATTAGTTGAGTTATTTTTATTTTCTTTCTGCAATTATTGTTATCAGTACCTGACAAATAACAAAAAAAATTTATTTTTTCATTGGTTCTATTTTTCTTGTATTTTCCCTAGAATGTCAGAATCAGAATCTCATAAGCGGCAAAAGCTACAAATGTAAGTGATGCGAAATAAGTTTATTTTATTTTCTCCAATTTTTATAACGATTCAAATGGAATTAAATAATTTTTGGGAACAGTTGTTAGGCCTTTAACACCTTTTAAGGCCTTTTTTTTTTTTTTTTTTTTTTTAATTTTACATTTGTTGGTCGTATTACAACTATATATTGCCAAAAAAAATAAAATAAAAATAATGATAAAATAATAAACTTTCACAAATATAAAATAAGGTATCTGAAAGAAGATCAAAGGATCAAAGAACCTTAAATAAGTTCAAACAAGCATTAACAGTATCAAATTTTTACAAATTTCATATATATACAATCCAAATATATATTTTATAATCCAAAAAGAGATCACGCGGATCTACTCATCAATATTTTATATAAACGTATACGTGAAGTAAAGAATATAAAATCAACAAAATAAGTAAGAATAAACTTTTTACAAATATAAATAAGAGAAGGCAAAGTTATTAATTTATATTATTAATAATAACATAATACGTCTTCTAATGAAAAAATTAGGGTTTTTAATTTACTTTTAAAAAAACGAAAAGTAATGGGTAGTTCGAAATCAAAATTGGGCAAAACAATTTTATTCCAAAGGTGTGGTGCCCGATAGACAATACAAAATTGATTAAAATTCGTTTGACAGAAAAGTTCATTTAAAAAATCAGTATTTCTCAAATTGTATTTGTTGATGGGTTTCGGAGTAAAAATATCTTTGAAGACAGATTGAGACAAGTCATTTTTCCACATGTATACAAAGCATAAAACATTATATATATTTAGCTCGTATATATTTAAAATTCTCATTTCAATAAAATAATGTTTTGCGTGAGAAAAGCGATTTGCAAAGCAGATTAAACGGATAGCATGTTTCTGACGGCGATAAAGACGTTGCAATTTACTTTTTTCTGTACTACCCCAGGCGATATTAGCATAATTTAAATAACTGTGTATAAATGAATAATAAAGTTTGATTAAAATTTTCTTATTGAGGTAGATTCGTGCTTTATATAAAACTCCTATGTTTTTTGAAATTTTAGTGCTTATGTAGTCGATATGATGGTTCCAACTGATGTTTTCATCAAGGTAAACACCTAAAAATTTTGTTACGGAATCCCTTTTTATTTCATTTTGATCAATAAAAATTTTAGGTAAGTTTAATGGCAAATATCGTTTTTTGGAAAGCGAATGGAATAAGGTCCACTTTGTTTTATTAGAATTTAGAGTTAACTTATTACATTTAAACCAACTCTTTGTTCATTGTTTTAAAAAGTTCAAAGATATCACTGTTAGAAAGAAATAAGTTAGTATCATCTGCAAACATAATACTTGTTAATTTAGAGGCTTTATTTAAATCATTAATATAAATTAGGAAAAGGAGTGGACCAAGAATTGAGCCTTGTGGGACTCCACATGTTATAGAAAGACAATTGGTGTGATAACCGTCATTACTCGGAACAAATTTTTACGATTTGACAAATAGCTTTCAAACCATTTTAAAACTTTATTTTTTATTCCATAATGTTTAAGTTTATGGATTAGAATTTGGTGGTCAACTGTATCAAAAGCTTTTGATAGATCAATAAAAAGTCCTAGAGTATATTGTGATTTTTCAAATGATTTTGAGATTTCACGTACAAATTGGATAATTGCATGTTCAGTTGAGCTATCCTTTTTAAAACCGAATTGATTAATGTTAAGTAATTTATTAACATGAAAATATTTGTACACTCTGTTATATATAATTCTTTCTAAAATTTTTGAAAAGGTGGAAAGAACAGAAATAGGGCGATAGTTACTAATAATTGATTTGTCCCCTTCTTTAAAAATAGGAATAATTTTGGCAATTTTTAACAGTTCGGGGAAAACGCTTTGATGAATAGAAGCTTTAAAAACTTTAAAAAGAACAACTTTTAGCTGTTCAAAACAATCTATAATAACGTTTCCATTTATTTGATTTATGAAATTGCTTTAATATTTTTTAAAGATTTGAAGGCTCTTTCAAACTCTTCAAACAATAATTCAGAAGACAACTCAACTGAACCAATGCAGTTATCAATGGGTACTAGAAAATCAGTAAATAAAGATTTGGTCTTTGGGATTTTTTTAGAAAGTGTTGGACCTATATCGATAAAAAATTTGTTAAATTCTTGAGTTATAGTTCTTGATTCGTATAAACTTTTGTTATCGACTCTAACCATTTGTGGCAGAAAACCTGAGCATGATTTTTGTTTTCCAATAATTTCATTCATTATTTGCCATGTGCGTTTTGCGTCATTTTTAAATGTATTGAGTAATTGGGAGTAATAAATTTTTTTTAGATTTTTGCGAATTTTTTCAAATAGATTTTTGTAGTCCTTGTAAATTTTTTCGTATTTAGGTGTTTTTGTTTTCAAAAAATTTATATATAGTTTTTGTTTAATTTTGGACGATTTTTTAAAGCCCTTAGTGATCCAGGGTGTATTTAAGCTCTTAGTAGTTATTTTATTTTCAATGATTGGGAAGTTAGCATCGTATACAGAAAAAAATGTTTTGAAAAAAGACTCATAGATATTGTTAGAATTATCATTAAAATTTATGTTATTCCAGTGTAGTAATGAAAGTTGATTTTTGAATAAATTAAAGTTAGCCTCATTATAAATGCGTTTTCTAATTACTCTTTGTGCGGTTAAAGTTTTTTCAGAGTTTTTATTATCTAATTTTAGGAATATAGGGAAATGATCTGATATATCGGTTCGCAAAATACCTACTTTTAAATCATTGTTGAAAATATCTGAAGTTATTATATTATCTATTAGAGTTGCTGAATTTGTCGTTACTCATGTAGGTTTGTTTATTAAAGATACTGAACCCGTTTCAAAAATTTCATCATAAAAATTTTTAACTTTAAGGTTATCATTATAAAGAAAACAATTCATGTTTAAATCTCCAATTATAAAATTTTGTTTTTTTTCAACGTTACCTTTTTTAATAATTTGTTGTAATAACATGCTAAAGTTTTCGCTTACGCCATCAGGTGGCCGATAACAACAGCTTAGTAAAATTTTTTTTTTTTGTTGCAGTTAGTAATTTCTATAGTTGCAATTTCTTTATCGCAGTCAGAAACGCTTAAATCATGGCTAAAACAATGCTCAAAATTTTCGTGAACATAAATTAAACTCCACCCCCGCTTATTTGTTTTCCTTTCCATTAAAAATGTATTAAAATGAGGTAGATGAAAATTATTTAGGTCTTCTAAAGAAATCCAAGTTTCCGTTAAACAAATTATATTAAAAACATGTTTAGTTTCTTCTAATAAGTCTAAAAGTTTTTCAAAATTGCTATTTATTCTTCTTATATTGAGGTGGAGAATTAACATTTGATTATTATTTCTTTCATTCTCATTCTTAAAAAGAAACCCTTCTAGTTGGCTAGGAAAGTAATATGAACAATCTGAAAATTTATTTTGATAAATATTGTTATCAGAGTCTAAGTTTTCATTTAACGTAGAGTAATTTGTTTTTTGAATTTTAAAAACACGAGATTCAAAGTTTTCATTTGTAGCCATGATTAATATATTTTATTTAAGATTTCTTTTTAGGAATGCCCATAAAATTATTCGTTAAAATTGCTTTTAAAAGAAGTTTTAATATAAACAATTTTGTCATACCTTACCGTAACACTTTCACCATTCAATCGCCTTTCTTTCACTTCAGCGAACAATTTTTTTTGAATAGCGACGGTTTCTCGAGAAAAATCTTCGTTCACGAACGTATTTGTGCCTTTGAGTCGATACAATTCCTTCAATATTCTTATTTTGTCTTTATATTTCTGAAGATTTAATATTATAGTCCTTGGTCGTCCATCGTTTTTTCGTCCAGTGCGGTGAGCTCTTTCAATTTCAACACCTTTTAGTCCAAGTTTTTTTTTCGGTGAAGAATGTTTGGACTTTTTTTTCTGTATCCCCCCATGATTCTTTATCATTCTCGTAAATTTCTTCAATCCTAAGATTGTTTCGGCGTGATCGATCTTCTAAGTTTCGTTGTTTTTCTTTTAATACATTATCTATTTTTGTATGTTTCATTTTTTTATCTAGATATTTGTTGTTAGTAACTATTTTTTCGTCGATAAGTCCTTCATTAAAATTAAGGCTTACCTTTATATCTTCTAATTCTTTTGTTAATTTTTTTATACAATTTGCATTTCCATCAACATTTTTCTCTACTTTTTCAAATCTATCGTTTATTATTTTGATGTTAGCGCCAATAATATCGAGAACTGCTTTTTCTTGCTTTTGAAACATTTCTTCCGTTTCCTTTTTAAATTCTTTGAACATTTCTTTTAAAAGTTTCTTTATTTCAGGAAGTGTTACAGCCATATTATTAAGTTAAAACTTTTTATTAAAGATACGTCTTTATTTATAATAAATAAAAAGTTTTTTTTTTTTTTTCGCCACGAGGTAAAAAGTGCGTCCGTTCTTGTTGAAAGCTTGAGTTGAAAAAATCGGTTTAGAACGTCAGGAAGTGGCTTAAGGTCATTATAGTCGCAATAAGTCAATTAAGCTTAGTGTCTTTTATATGATGTTGTAAGTATTGTAAACCATATTTTGGACTAAACTAGTTTTAAAAATTCAAAGGTGCTTAATCATTTGTTTTCTTTTAAATGGCGCTGCCTGACTTATTCTGTATCTTGTGCCTCAATCATTTTTTGATTAATCCCCGTTAACTTTAGGACAAAACTATAAATTGGCGGGAGATTATTATCATTAGTGTTTAATTAATGAAAATAATTTATATGTTTTTAACTTGAAAAAAAATGTTTTTAACGTATTGTTTGTTTTTATAAAAAACTAGTTTTATCACGTAAATATTATTTGACTTGCTTGGAACATACTTTATCGTTTTGTATTATGTTTACATAAAACAATCAAATTCGGAAGTATTCAAAAAGATTCTGGAACTTAATTGGAGATTTCAGTGGAAAAAGATTTTCTTATATACCAGGTATACCGGTATGAAGTGAGCGTCAAGATACAAATGTCTCGATAGGGAACATTTGTTGTGAACGAGCCTTTATTTTTTTTTGTTTGTTTGCTATGACATCTGTGAAACATATTTAGTATACATCAAGTCATTGAACAGACAACATCATATTTTTTCATCGTGTTAAAAATGTCGAATTTTGTACCGGAAAATGATGATTTGCGGAAAGCATTAATTTTTTGTTTTCATTTGAAGAAAAGTGCTGCAGAGTCGCATCAAATGCTTGTCGAGGCATATGGTCATCATGCTCTATCAGAAGCAACATGCAAAAGATGGTTTCAACGGTTCAGAAATAATGATTTTGATGTGAGAAATGAAGAACGTGGAGGACCACCAAAAAAGTTTGAAGACGCCGAATTGCAAACGATATCGGATGGAGATGACAAGAATGTTAAATATTGCACAACAAACAATTTCTGACCGTTTAGAAGCTATGGGAAAGATCCAAAAGTGTGGAAAATGGGTGCCACATGAATTGAATGAAAGACAGATGGAAAACCGAAAAAACACTAGTGAAATTTTGCTTCGAAGACACGAAAGAAAATCGGTTTTGCATCGGATTGTTACTGGCGATGAAAAATGGATTTATTTTAAGAATCCTAAACGGGAAAAATCATGGGTTAATCCGGGACAACCATCAACATCGACTGCAAAACCAGATCGATTCGGCAAGAAGACAATGCTGTGTGTATGGTGGGACCAGAAAGGTAAGGTGTTCCACGAGCTCCTAAAACCTGGTGAAACCGTCAATACTGATCGCTACCGACAACAAATGATCAATTTGAACCATGCATTGATCGAGAAACGACCAGAATGGGCCAGGAGACACGGCAAGGTAATTTTGCTCCATGACAATGCACCTGCACACAAAGAAAATCCGGTTCAGGATACAATCAAAACACTTGGCTGGGAGCTGCTACCCCACCCGCCGTATTCACCAGACTTGGCTTCTTCCGACTACCATTTGTTTTCATCGATGGGACACGCATTGGCTGAGCAGCACTTTGATTCCTACGAGGAGGTCGAAAATTGGGTGTCTGGTTGGTTTGCTTTAAAAAACGAACAATTTTATTGGCGTGGTATCCACAAATTGCCAGAAAGGTGGTCAAAATGTGTAGAAAACAATGGCCAATACTTTGAATAAAATGTTTTATACCTTCCCATTAATAATTAGTGTTTTATTTTCACAAAAAACGCTCATTTCATACCGGTATACCTGGTATAAAATCTTATATTGCTTTTGTACTGAGGTCTTTAAAAAAATTTTATTTTTCGATTCTGTTCCGCTTTTCAGCCCAATGGGTTTAATTGACACTAAACTTTTACAGTCATAAAGAATACATAAAAGTTGACTCAACATATTACGTATATTATATTATTTATATTATTTATATATGACATTGCATTATAACATTACGTGTATTATATTCTTAAGATATTCTAGAAAAGCTAAAAATTGAAATGACTTAATCAGCATTGATCGAGTCATAAAGTAAATGTTACAAAAAGTGTAATAATATTACATGCTAGCAAAACACAATACTTTCTCCCAAGTTCGTTAAAGCAGCACACACCAGAACAACTTTATCACAGCTTGCATATATTAAATGATTTGCCTCATCCTTTAGACTTTTCACTGATCTTATTGGCAAGATTCCTTTTAGAATTTTATAACGATTTTTCATTAATCCTATAATCCTTTCTATATGAATCCTTACAGATGCAATATTTCTGGTAGATTCAACTTCTTCAGCTGATAGCTGGCATTTGTTTTTTGCGAATGCAGGAACCAACAGTTCCGAACTGGAATGAGCAGCAAAATCATCTTTCAATGTAAAACCACGATCAGCCAAAATTTGATCTCCAGGGTAGTGGTATTTTGATGATGTAAAGTTTGATTTTTTTACAATTTGAATGTCAGAAACACGACTACCCCAACATTTAGATAAAAAGTTAATGGCACCAAGTGGTGTACAGGAAATAAAAACCTTTAATGTGCAATGTTTTTTGTAACTACTATAACATTGTGCTCTTGCTAACAAAGGACCAGGTGACTCAATAAACACATTAAAGCAGTCAATTATTGAAGTAAGCCGTGGAAACTTTGACTTGAAAATATGTGGTATGGTTTCGAAAATGTGTTCTCGAGCTTCCATTCTAATTAAAAATTTTAATTTTTCTGACATTACATCTATCCATTTCCAAAAATATTCAATAGCTGTTGTTTTACTTATGGAGCACAAATGGGCCAACATATCAAAACTCATATTGTGCTTCAATTTAACAATTGTTAAAATTATTTGATCTTCCATAATATTTCGAGTTGGTCTATGATCACCATTATGTTCTCCTATAAAAAGGTATCGATAAGAGTTGTTAAAATATCAAACTTTAACCCAGTTAACATCAAGCAAGTGTCAGGATTTTCCCTTAAAACTTGAAACGAATAAGGAGACAAGTGCACAGGCAACAATAATTTTTCTCGTAATATATCTCTTTCTGATCATAAATAATCCATTTCATGGTATATACTTTCTCGTTCATATTCACTGACAAGAGACTTCATAGTTATTGTGGGGCTAGTTCGTGAGGCTAAAGGAATATAACTTTGTTCTATTATATTAGAGCATCTTACTTCATTGGTTATTGTGTACAATTTCTTTGATGTTTTCATTTTGACTAGATTTTTCAGAATGCATATTATCTAATTCATGGTACATACTTTCTCGCTCACATAATTTATAAGAAATTTCAGGCTATTGTGGGGCTGGTTGGTGAGGCTAAGGGCAGATAATTTTGTTCGATCATAGTAGAACATCCTACTTCATTGGACATGTTATTGTGTACAATTTCTTCGATGTTTTCAATTTGACTAGATCTTTCAGAATGCATATTATCTATTTCATGGTACATACTTTCTCGTTCACATATACTTATAAGAGATTTCATAGCTGTTGTGGGGCTGGTTGGTGAGGCTAAGGGCAGATAATTTTGTTCGATCATAGTAGAACATCCTACTTCATTGGACATGTTATTGTGTACAATTTCTTCGATGTTTTCAATTTGACTAGATCTTTCAGACTGCATATTATCTATTTCAAGGTACATACTTTCTTGTTCACATATACTTATAAGAGATTTCATGGCTGTTGTGGGGCTGGTTGGTGAGGCTAAAGGCAGATAATTTTGTTCGATCATAGTAGAACATCCTGCTTTGTCAGTTATGTTACTGTGCATTATTTTATCAATGTTTTCAATTTGACTTGATAGCAAATCTGGCTGACTTTTATCAGATGCATGAGCAGCTAGAATAGAAAAAAATCAAGTTGTGTTTCATGTTACAAATGTTACATGTACGTATATGTGTTTACGTATATTTATTTGTTTGCTTAAATTAAGCCTTAATCATACTAACAGATTTTTAAATTCTTACCTGATATTTTGTTACAATTTAATACAGATTGTCGATGAAGAGCTTGATGTTTTTTTCCACATGATTTGTAAGAAAACACAGAAGGTACATAATCTGGATCATTTGATTGGTTTTTTTTTTTACCTGTAAAAAAAATATATATTTTAGCTACATGAAATACACAGCAAGCGTCTTTAAAGAACTAAAAAAGTTATGCTAAACAGTTCAAGCAAAAAAAACCTACCAGAAATAAAATGTTTAGAACAAACATAGTGATATTTTGATCTTGGAGACCAAAGTTTGTTCTTGAGAATATTTCCATCTTTATCTAAAGCAGTACGACTGATTGCATTGAGCCAAAGTTTGCGACGTTCTGGATCATGCGGTAAAATGTAATATTTCAAATCTGGATTTTTTGTTTTGTTGTTTGAACATTCAAAAACACAACAACTTTTGGGCATTTTAAAGAATTCTTTTGTTATAGCCACTGACGCGCTGCAGACAGAAATTAATTTTCCCCCATGCAAAATGGTAGCTGTTCGCGCCAAAGATTATGACGTATTTCCGACAGTGAGGATTGCAAAAAAGGTATTGGCGAGGTAAGGAAAACTTGTTTTTATAAAAGAAGTTTTTATTTAATTTAAAAGGTTTTAGTTAAATAAAATTAAGTAATTAAACAATATTCTTTATTGTGCATTATTTTGAATTAACACAACATTTTTCAAAAGTTCGAAAATTTATAGCTTTAAAACAACTCAAAATAATGTAAAAATTTCATACAAATAATTTTTTTATTGTAGGTGATTGTGGTAATAGATCGGGAAGAAAAATTAAACATTGTTAAAGAAGTCCATGAGAGTGAATTTGTAAATTCAGTATCCATTGCACTTCATGATATGACAGGCGTTCAGCAACATGTAACCTCTGCTTACCATCCACAAGCCAATGGCCTTGCGGAGAGACAGAACCAGACAATTAAGAAAGCAATTGTTAAGGTCTTAAATGAAAATGTTAAAAGTTTGGCCTCAGTTTTAGATGAAATCCTTTTTGCTTTACGTGTTAAAGTGCACGATTTAATGGGGTATTCACCATTTTACCTTATGTATAACTGACAACCCTATCTTCCAATTGATGTAAAGTACACAAATGTACTCAATGGGGATAACTACAATCCTGTATATGATAAAGAAGTTTTACAAAAAGCTTTACAAATGAAAAGAGGATTTGAAGAAAAAGCCATGACCAATATTGTTTGTGCACAAAAGAAACAAAAAATTGACTATGATAGAAAGCATACAACACCATCAAATTTTTTTGTGGGTCAAAAAGTACTATTGAGAAATCTAAAAAAAAGAAAATAGAAAAGGTGGAAAAATGACTTTCTCATGGCTTGGTCCATATGAGATACTTGATATTTTGTCAAACTCAACATGTTTATTAAGAAACATTAAAGGGAACAACACAATAAAGAAGAAGTACTCTCTACATCATGTTAAACCATTTGTTGAAGAGAAAAGTAATTCAAAATTGCATAGTTTAACTTCTGAGTGCAATGATCAGGATAAAAGTCAACGTAATTCCAAATTAATGAAACATCCCACCAAAGAAGTTCTCCAAAAAATAGCTGAAGAACAAGTACTTAAAATATTTATAATGCCAGATCTTTTTGATGGAGAAGAAAATGATGTACCTTCAAAAATACATGTTTGCAAAGATGATGGCAATTGTTTTTTTCGAGCAATTTTGTTTTTGCTGACAGGTTCTGAGTGTCAACATACACGTGTTTGCGATGTTGTTGTTAAACATATGGTATCAAAGTCTTGTTCCAGTCTTTTGTCCGGATATTTAGGCGATGATGTGGAAAACTACATTATCAAAATTGTATGGCCACAAATAGTATATGGGCTACAGATGTTGAGATCCTTGGTACTGAAAATCTTATTGGAATTGACATTGCTTTATGGTCCTTCACTGGACAAAAACTAACATGGCTCAAATATCCAGCATCCATGAAACTCGACCAACTAACAGCTCATAGTATTCTTTTAGAAAATAAAAACAATCATTAAAACGTTGTTTTGTCACTAAAAGCTTTGTAAATGAAATGATGTTTAAACTGAACTAAAATGATGTTTGTATATCAGTTGTTTTACAAGGTTGTTTGTTATAAAAAAATAAATAATTTGCTCAAGGTTGCATATTCTTTACAACTTAAAAAAACGTAAATAAACTTGTTTGTAATAAAATTCTACAGAAGCGATCTTATTGATCGCTAGGCTATTTAATTTATTCTAAGATTAGATTTTGTCGCACAATAAAGGAAAATCTCTTTACTTGATGACAGTAAAATTATAACAAGCGCAGTAAAACTATAACGTTAAAATATTACTGTCTCAGTAATATTTTAACGTTATTATTTTACCGCAAAGGAAGTTTGAATGGTTGGAGACTTCCGCGCAGTAAAATCTTAATGCAGTAATTTAAAAACGCTACACCGGATTTTGAATATTTCACTTTAGAATTTTGCAATAAGTTATCCATAATATTATTGTAACAACTACATACCAATCACCAAACGGATGTTTAAATAACTTTAAAAATCACTTAAGTGATTATTTTGAAATAGCATGCAAAAAAAATAAAAACTGCTCATTTTTATTTGTTGGAGATTATAAAATCGACTATTTAAAATATGGTGAAAATAATAAAGTACAACAATTTTACGATCGCTTTAATGAGTTTGGAATGATGCCTATAATAAAGAAATCAACAAGAATAACACAAAACTCTTGTTCTGCAATCGACAATATTTTAACAAGCACACTCTTCCATTCCACATTTAAATCAGGCATCATCAGAAGTGACCTAACCGACCATTTCATAGTCTTTGCAATTTTCAAAAAACCAAAAGATATACGAAAAAAGGACTGGTACTTCAAAAAAAGAATCTTTACAACCCGAGCAAAAAAATGTTCAAACTAGAGCTATCGACTGTAAATTGGAACTTTGTTTTTCTCGAGACATGTGCTAATAACAGCTACAACCTTTTCCTAGATAAGTTTTTCAATTTGTACGATAAGCATTTTCCTAATAAAATAGGCCGTATTAAAACTAAAGGACCTCTTAATCCTTGGTTCACTAAAAACCTTTTAAAGTCTTCGAGGCGAAAACAAAAGCTATATATACGCTTTATTAAATCAAAGAAAGAACGTGAAAAGCAAAATTACTTAGAGCACAAACATCTATATGAAAGAACTAAAAAAATAGCCAGAACTACGTACTTCAAAAATAAGCTGTTAGAACTATTAGGTAACTGGAAAAAAACGTGGGTTGCTATTAAAGAGATTCTTGGAAAACAAAAAATACACAACAAAGCCTTACCAAGCGTGATTACCGTAGGCGACACGCAGATCTCTGATGTAAAATTGGTGGCAACAAAATATAATGAGTTTTTCGTAAATAATTAAAGATGTTTTATTAGATATTTTTAACAAATCGCTGAAAACAGGTGTTTTTCCAGATAAACTGAAAGTTGCAATTATTATACCCATTTTTAAATCAAGAGATGAAAGCCTCGTTACAAATTATCGACCTATATCGGTGTTACCTGTTTTTTCAAAAATTCTCAAACGTATCATGTATAATAGGATATTTGCATTGTTGAATGATAACAATCTTCTTTATTATAACCAATATGGTTTTTGATCAAGTTACTCTACGGAACATGCACTTATGCAATCTGTTGAAGTTATCAGTGGAGTATCTTCCCATAACAAATTCACTTCAGGTATATTCCTAGACTTGTCAAAAGCATTTGACACCGTTAACCATCAGATTTTATTAGAAAAACTAAAGTATTATGGAATAAGCCACAAATACCATAAATGGTTTACCAGTTACTTAACTGATCGAAAGCAGTTTATTCCTCTAAATGACGGCTTTCAGACAAACAAACTTAAAATATCATGTGGAGTTCCACAAGGCTCCACCTTATATCTGCTGCTGTTCTTATGTCAACGATCTATATAAAGCATCAAATACTGTCTACTATTATGTTTGCAAATGACACCACTTTATTCTATTCTCATAGTAACATCATCTCTCTATTTCAAGTAGCAAATAATGAACTAGAACAAATATCAAACTGGCTTATCGCTAACAGCCTTTCTTTAAACACTGATAAAAGTTTTCCTTATTCCATTCTAAACGAAAGTTTCAATATATTCCAAAATCCTTACCAATTCTATATATAAATAACATCAAAATTGAGCGCTCATTCACAAATAAATTACTTGGTATTTTAATAGATAAAAACTTATCCTGGAGAGATCATATTAAACATATTAGCAATAAAATCTCAAGAAATGTTGGTATTTTATATAAAACCATACAAATCTTAGACAAATCTACACTAACTCAGCTATATTTTGCATTCATAAACATGAAATGACACACAAGCACAATGTCATTTATCTTATGACAATATTGTTTGGGGTAGTACAAATAAATCTAAACTCCAATATCTCCTTAAACAACAAAATCATGCACCACGCATTATTCATTTTCAAAATCGCTTCACAAATGCTAAACCTCTTTTAAAAAGCATGAGGGCACTTGATATTTATAAACTAAATATTTTCAAAATTACACAATTTATGTTTTAACACCAGTCAAAATAAACGGCGAAGGTTTTCGAAAATATTTTTCCTAAAACATTAAATCAATACTCGATACCAATATAGATACAATACTCGATCTACCTGAAGATTTAAAAAACCTTTCCGTATATCAAAACTTACGAGCTTTGCCATTTCCTATCGTGGCCCAATTCTATGGAACCATTTTACAAGCCTGAGTTGTAAACTTAAAGAAGCCAATACCTCTCAAAAATTTAAAAACAACATAATCGAACTTATTGCCAATCAAGATTCTTTACATGATTTTTTGAAACAATATACTTTAATTTCCAATTTTTATTACCAAAGGTTACTGATGATAAGATTTTATCTTCTTCAGGTTCTCCGGTCTCGTAACTACTATAAATAATGAAATGTACTTGTATTTAATATTTTTAAATATTTTATCAGAAAGTACCTTTAATTGTAAATGGTTGCTTGAAAAAAATAAAAAAAAATGCTTTAGCAAAATCTGTGAATATGATATCGGTTAGGCAACCATTTCGGGCAGCTGTAGTCAGGATGTCGCAAGTTTTGAATAGTTTTGTGACGCAACCTTTTCCCTTTCGGATCCCGTGTTGAGCTGAGCTGATGAGTTTTCTTTTGTTCAAGTGGTCAGTAATGTGTCTGTGTACAAGGCTTTCCATTACCTTGCAAGGGACAGATGTGAGTGAGATAGGTCGAAGTTATTTAGACAATTCAGAGTATATAATGCTAAGTAGGATAGCAAAGCATGCAGCATTGAGAGTGTTATCAACTAGTTTTTATAACTTTAAACAAATGAGTAAGCTACTTTAAACACTTTTTTTTATTCAAATGAGTTTTGGTTATATACTTGATTCCAATACTTTTGGGAACTTTGGTCTAAATGCAGTTAATGTTGTTTTTATGTGATGTCAAGAAAAACATGTGACGTCAAGAAAAATATCTCTTTATTTTAACTTGATCAAAAAACAAAAAAAAAAAAACAAAAAAAAAATACCTTTTCTTTTTATTTCAACTTGATCAATAAAATTTGTGGGTAAAGAGCGTTTTTTAGAGAGTAAATAAAAACAACCCATATCACTTTTTTTATTTTAAAACTAATTTGTTATACTTGAACCAATACAACACTTTTTCGTCATTCGTAGTCGAAAATAGTTGGTTAAAATCATTGTTAGAGGCCTAAGTTGATACCATCAACAACAACAACAACATGATACCTTTTAAATTTGAGACTATACATAAGCTCTTAATTTATTTCCATTGTAATTTCATTGTTGCTTCAAAGCTGGAGTCCAACTTTTTTTTTACAAATATCAACAAAAAACCTTTTTTTCTATTTAGCTTGAACAGAATTGCAAAATTATCAGAAAATTAAAAGTTACATCTTAAGCCAAAACCTTAATATATTATTACTTTAATAAAGCGGTAATAATAATAAAATTATATCAAATACGGTTTCATTAGCCAAAAATACACAAGGTTTAGGTAAACTTGATTTATTTTATAAAAAACTTGCAACAACAATGTATAAATATTAAATAATAATAAAATATTAAGTATTTTTTTATAAACAATAACTTATGAATATTTACAATTAACAAGTATTTATAAACAATACATTCACATTTGTAAAAACAAAAATAAAAATAAAATAAGTCAAATCTATTCGAATAAAAGTAAAACCTATTCGAATCTATTATACAATTATTTATATTTATGCATAAATATTCGAATCTAATATACAGTTATTTAAATATATGTATAAATAGGTTAATTCATAAATAAACTTAATAAAAAATTGCTTACATTATCTTTTATAAATGCTTTTAATTAAAAATTGCATAAAGAATAAACAATAGTATTTATCAGTGACGGGTTCAGGAATTTTTGGTAGAGAAGGGGGGGGGGGTGAGGATGTTGAAATATTCTTGTATTTTGCATGACATTTGCGTGTCCTAAAAAATAAAAAATTCGACTATTTCTAAAAGCCCTCTGGATCCGTCACTGGTATTTATATATATATATATATATATATATATATATATATATATATATATATATATATATATATATATATATATATATATCATTTTTTATAACATCTTAATGTAAATCTTTACATTATTTCAATATAATTTCTTATAAGAAATTAGAGTTATTGCAAATATTTGTGTGATTTAGTTAAGCAGTTATTTGACTTTTCAAAAATATGAAACTATTTAAAAACATGTAGTTTTTAAATCTTTACATTTTTTTACTTTAAGTTAAATAATCATTAGAACATTCAAGTAAAAAATATTTCTTAACAATGATGCAAATAATTCCTAATCAATCAAATAAAAAATGAATCACACAAATAGTCAGTTTATATAAAAATTTAACAAGGTCAGACTTTTCACTTTATCCGAACTATCTTCAAAAGCCTTTATTTAATCTACTTGTCTAAAATTGTAAAAACAGAGAAAAATAGTTTTAATTAAGCTTCAATCCAGTTAGTTCTTAGGTTTAATTGTATTTAAAATGTTATTTGTGGCAGAATAGGTTTCATACGAAAGTTTTGCAGCAATTTGTTGTTCACGAAAACGTTGTTGGGCAAGTGAATTGAGACGCTGATATCTATTGCTTCTAAAAAATATATATATATATATATATATATTATATATATATATATATATATATATATATATATATATATACACACACACACACATATATATATATATATCAAACTGGCTTATCGCTAATAATCTTTAAACACTGATAAAACATATATATGTATATTTATTTCATATATATATATAAATATATGTTATGTATATATATATATGTTATATATATATATATATATATATATATATATATATATATATATATATATATATATATATATATATATATATATATATATATATATGTTATATATATATATATATATATATATATATATATATATATATATATATATATATATATATATATATGTATATATATATATATATATATATATATATATATATATATATATATATATATATATATATATATATATAAACTCTTTATATACATTTATATAAGCTCGTATACTATGAACTTACCTTACTAAGCATGCAAGAAACAAATAAATAATTCCCAAAAAGATAACCATAACAGACGATACTAGCGTTTTTGTTCCAAAACACAATATCATTACTGGAAAGGTCGATCTATTTGTAAAAAGATAAACTTTGCACGACATAAAAAGGCTGTTAAAAATAATCTTAAAAATAAAGATTTTACGAAAACAAAGCATAACATACATTATATAGATAAGACCTTTTAACCAAAAAGGAAACGAGTTGTCTATCTTTTCACAACATCTTGTTTTACCAGCACACAAGCAACACATGCATTCCATAATAATAATAACCAATCCCCATATACTAGAAAATTTGATTGCATAAATTTAATGCATAAAGTGTAAATTAATTTAAACTTATTCACTAATTATACAACAAATTTTCATTGAGGAAATCCTTTTATTTTCAAACAGTGATATTAGAATGTTGCAAAAACTATGACCAAGAAATAAACTGCATTTACATGTGACGTGACTGTAAATGAAAATGACACACAAGCACAATGTTAACATTCGTTATTGTATGTGATCAAGTTAACATCGTTTTTTTAAACTGCTTTATTGCAAAATACACAATACGCGTACCTAATAAAAGTTTTAAATATTATTTCTATCGACGGCGATGCAAGTTAATTGCGCAAAACAATTATTATTCAACAAATTATTATTTTTATTTATTTTAGCATTTTTCTTTGAAAAACTTGTTTTTTTTATTTTAAAGCTTTTTTTTTATCTTTTCAAATCTTTTTGGAGATTATTTGCTGCTCAATGTTTTTTTCTATACAACTAAAACTTAAGGAGAAATATTACGATGAAATATAATCTTATGGAGAACTGTTAAAAAAATAATTTTAAGCTATTGTCTTCCGAACTGTTTGCATCTTTTTAATATCAAATTGTTTGAGATTTTTCCTTAACAGACATTTGTACACATTGAATGAAACAGAGACTATTCTTAAATAAAGCGTTAGTATGTAAGCTTTATCTAAATAAATAACTAAAATATATAACTAAATATATATAT